GTCAGAAAGCAATGTCCATGAGTTCCTTGAATTGAGCTGCTTTTTGGTTTCTCCACATCTGCCCCAGTCAGTGAAAACATTGTAGGCTTTACTAAGGACTACCTCGGCCCAGGATTCAGCTGGAGCTATTGCTCCTGGGGCTGTAGCACTTGGGTGGGGTGGTTCCCCACCCACCCACAGAACAGATGGGGCGGGGCCCCTCCCTGAGCCACCTTCTTGAAACCCAGCCTGTTCAGCTGTCCCAGAGCCGGTTGCAGAGCACTGCCAAAGGTGTTTTATTTTTTGTTTTCCTTTGTTTTTTTTTTAAATGTGCCCGCCTGGCTTTTGCGCAAGCCCCTGACCCGTTCACACGTTAGTTCAAGGTGGGTGGGGTGGGTGGTTTTCGCTGCTGACCCCATGTACTCTGCCCCACCCTTCTGCCCAGGAGGCTCTGAAGCTGGCCAGGGCACACCTGATGCCGCTTCTTACTTTGTCTGCTTTTGGTTTCACTTCTGTAGCATTTCTGAATTCTTCCTCAAACCCTTCCGGTGATTCCTATTATCTCCAGTAAAAACATTAGCCCCAAGTAGCCAGGGAGCCAAATGAATCACCTCTGCCCAAACCTTTTGAGCTATGGGATCTGACAAATCCAATCCCCTGCTTTTAAGCATATCTCTCAGCGCTTTAAGTGCCAGGTCCTCAAACTTAAAAGTTATGTTACCCACATTTAGGGTCTTTCTTACACCAAACCTCTCGATTGGCCCCAATCCGTTTTCCTTCTTTCTTTCTTCTTTCTTTTCTTCTTTTCACCTTCCTTCGAGAGCCACACTAGGCACCATTTGCCAGGGGTTCGAACCAGTGACCCCAGCACAGTGATGGTTGGGGATGAGTAAGCACGCCATTCACCAGCCCACGCCACCCCCAGTACCAGAGACACTCAGATGCAACAGGGAGTCTAGTCAAGCAGGGACTCATTTATTACAGGTATTACAGAGCTTATAAAGGCACCTGGAACTCCCTCCTCCCCACTGAGGGTGTATCTTAAGGATAGTCACCCACTCATCATGCACTCCTCAGCAGTGCGGAAGTATTCTTCAGACTTTCAAAGCAAGCCAGGCTGTACCCCCAGTAACTTCCTTTTGGACCTATGCAAGGTGGGTCCTTTAGGTCCCCACATTTTATTTCCAATGGCACTGTAAATTTACATAAGCATCTCACCAGAAAATTATGTTTAGTTCTCATAGTAAATGACCCCACCATACTAGTTCTGACTTCTCAGTAATATTAATATCAGAGTAATACACACACACACACACACACACACACACACACACACACACACATTGGTTTCTCGAGACAAGGTCTTTCTGTGCACCAAACTGTCCTGGGCAATTCTGTGTGGACCACGATGACCTTGATCTCATAGAGATTTGCCTAACTCTGCCTCCAGAGTGCTGGGGACTATAGGCATGTGCCACATGCCTAGATAGGGCAATGTATTTTTAATCTGTGATAAATTTATTATGGACAATAAGTATAATTTATTTAAATCATTATAAGATATAACATATTACTAATAAAAAGTCTCTGTTCCTTGATGCTTAGCTGTATCATATGGTATAATTAAACTACTCCTTTAATTTTGTCCAAACTTAATACTCTATATAATGCAATATTTTTCATATTTTATTTTAATGATGAAAATAAAAAACCTTCTTCACAGAACTCTTAACCACAAAAGTTTTTAATGTAATCATATGAAATTAAAATCTATTTTCACTGTGAGTTAATATGGAAATATAGAGCTTTCTCTAAATATGCTTTCTATTGTGCATAAATTATTTTTAAAATTATTCCACTAATATTTAAATATATAGAGAAATACAAAGGAATATTTTTAAGTTAGAATTCTAGACACAGTAGTAATACCACCTTTTTTCATGGTTTGTTACTTTTGTCATTGATTGTCTCTCCTTAATACACTTCAAATATTTTCTGAATTTTAATTTTCCCTACATGACTCACTCTACTTAAGACTCTCTTTTATTTGTTTTCTTTTTGAAATTTAAGCCATTATCTTTTCCCGAGTAACTATTTGTCCACGTGCTTCTTTATCGTAGTATAGTGTAAAATCAAGAAGACCTGTTTATTTCATGGCCTCTTACAATGTTAATGCTTCTAAGTAGAATACACTAGAAGAGTAAAGGAGATTGAGTTGACTGAGGAAAAAAAAAAAAAGGCCAAGAGATGAAAAATGGGGCCAGTGAGATGACTCAGGTGGTAAAAGTGCTTGCCACTGTCTTATGACCTTGGTTCAGTCACTGGAGCCCACTAGGTTGAAGGACAGAATATCTACTCTCACAAATTTTTCTCAAGATGTTGTGGCACACATGTGCAAACACACACATGTACACAAACATACACACGCATACACATTAATCAATTACTTAATGAAAAGGATGTTGAAAACAGTGATAATTTAAATATCACTTATCAAGGGTTATTTAGTTCCAAGCCATTTCAAATTTAATGTGCTTCTTTGATTTACCAAATCTCATATTGCACCTTGCTTTCTAGATTTGAGGAGGGACATGTTAGTTTTATGGAAATTTTTGCTCATTTTATTTAATTATAACATATAAAATATAGAAGTATGAATTCAAATTCCAATTTTTAAAAAATTATATGAATTCAAATCATTTTCACGTTATTCATGTCAAGCTGAAACAGCTTATCTAGTCTTTTTATTTTCCTTCCAGTATTCTTTTTTTTAACACCTTAAAAATTTTTTTCTTTGTATTTTTATTTCATGTATATGAATGTTTTGTCTGCATGTTTGTAAGTGTATCCATGTCATACAGTGCCTGTGAAGGTCAAAAGAGGTGAATCTCCCAGAACTGGGAGTTATAAGTAGTTGATAGTTACCATGAGGGTGTTGGGAACCAAACCCAGGTCCTCTGCAGGAGCATCCAATGCTCTAAACTGTTTAGCTTCCTCTCCTGCCCTTCCCCATGTGTTATTGTTATAGAAATTATATAATATTTTATGAAACATTTAGTAATTTTTAAAATGTACTTAGTATATTGGAAAAAGTTGGATACATTAATTGATTGAAGAATGGCTTGTAATATTTTCTTTCTGATCCACATAGCTGTAAAATCTTACTATATAATCAATCCTGATGAAATCTTAAAATCTAAAATCTAATAACCATTATTTTATCCAAGTATAGTTGAGTATTGTCATTCATTAGATTATTACAATTCATATAATTATATTTGTAGTTTTAATTGCTACTGCAAACAATACAGCTGTACCAGGAAGCTTGTAGCAGAAAATCTCCACAGGTGGGCCTAGATAGAGCCAGTGTCATAATTTACTATGAATCCTTAATAATAGGACATTTAAAAGCAGATCACCAATTTGTTTTATTTTTGATTTATACTTTTTTAAGACTTAATAAAATATTTATCTGGGTCAAAAAGCAGAAAGAGGGACTGAAAATGGAAGGGAGGAGGAGAAATGAGGAAAAAGAGATGAGAAAAAGAGGGTGCATAGGAGGGGTGTGAGAGGAAGAGGGGAGAGGGAAAGAGGAAGGAAGGAAAACAGGAAGTTAATCTGGGATTATCCTATCAACTGGGGAGAAATATTGTTAGAATGTATTCTTGCTTTAAAAGTGACAGAAAGGCTCCATAACTTAAGTGTTACTAATGATAGAATACTTAAATTATAAAGATGCTAGTCAAGAGAATTGCTGGAAAATAAAGTGAGAAGGGATCAGGATTTGGGAAAGCAATAGGTTTTAAAATTGGGAGACTTTGAAGAAATTTTAAAATAGTGCTTTGATCACTAAATGTAATGAATTACAGTTTAAATAAGTGATTGTTTCCTCATTAAAAATGAATTCTGCTTTCTTTTATTGCTTTTTGTTAGAGTACATTTGACATTTGTCACGAAGACACAGCTGATACTATATGTACTCACTTGTTTGTAGCTAATTGAGAAGCACTAATTTAAGCAGTTCATGACAACTGGAATTGTTTGTCATGACTATTTTCTATTTTCTTTTCATGTAGGTAATTATAGAACAATCTGATCTGTGGAGTAAGGAACATTACTAACTTCTTTATAATCCAGAACAATGTTCTTGTGCCATAAACACCATAGCTGATGAGTTCAAGTTGAGAAGTGAAGAGTAAATCATGGGTTATGGTCATGTTTTCATATTATCACTTGCAACAATGTGTGTGTTGAGATGTGTCTGTCTAGGCTCCAATAGCCATGACTACTTTTCTGAGAGTAAATTGCTTCTTAGTTTCATAAGTGAATTAAATACTTTGGAACTTCTTACTCTGAACATATCCTTCTGTAATTTTTTTATAATATATCTGGTTACATTTGCCAGCACCTCGTATTTGAATAAATATGACTGTGAAAAGGCACTTAATGTCAATATAATCATTGTAGATTATACTTAAGTTCCAGATGTTATTTTTGTCATCTTTATTTTAATTTTTATTTATTTAATTCTATGTGTATGAGTGTTTTGCCTCCAAATATGTTAGTGCACCACATGCATGCAATGATGTCAGAGACCAGAGAGGGCTTTGGATCCCTTTCAACTGGATTTAACACACAGTTCTTAACCGCCATGTGTGTACTGGAAACTGAACCCAGGTTCTCTGCAAGAACAGCAAGTGCAATTAACTTCTAAGCTATCTCTTCACCCTTATTTATTTGTTTACTAACTTATTTGTTTATTATTTGAGACATGGTGTCAGGATGCAGCCCTGCTTCTGCCTCCTGAGTGCTGGGATTAACGGCATGTAATATTATGACTGGTTCTCATCACTTTTTAAAAAATCAGAATTATATAATTTTGTTACTGATCTCCAGTTTCTACTTTCAATCTTGTACTTAGTGTCCAGGTAGCTAATCCATTTTTTGTATAACCTACAACTTGTGATACCTGTTCTTCCTTCTTTAATTATTACTAATAATTTGTTAATTTTTCAATACAGGTAACGGACTAGGAATTAGAATTGTGGGTGGCAAAGAAATCCCTGGACATAGTGGAGAAATTGGAGCCTATATTGCTAAAATTCTTCCTGGTGGAAGTGCAGAACAGACAGGGAAACTTATGGAAGGTAAGAATTAGAGATTTCAGATTAAAATGCAATGAATGTACTCATGTTTTTTCATTTATATACAAATGTAATATGTAAATTTATTTAATTTTGTGTAGGAAAATTTCCTGGTGATTAATGATCGAATTTTGGCATAGCAATATAACAGAAAATATATCTACAAATAACTTAATTTTACTTTCAATTGCATTGTTCTTTTGACAGGTGGGTAGCTACAAGGATATGAAATTTTAAAAACAAAATTAGTCAAGCTTTTTCACTGACTAGGGTAATTTTATGAAAACATACTTTGGTAATCTAGTTTAATATTTCATAAAGATGAAGAAAAATTATAATGAAATAAGTTATGAAAATGTAAAAGAAGATTCAGTAGAAGCTAAGGTTGGGTCAGCAGTTACAGATGGTCTACCAGCCAAATCCATCTGCCACCTTTTTTTGTAAACACTTTGGTTTGGAACACAGCCAGGATTACTGAGTTAGGCATAGAGTGTTCTTACTTTCCTGATTCAGTAGCAGCGGATCATTCATGACATAGATGGCATGGTCTGTGACATCTAAAATCTTCACTTTCAGTAAGAAGTTTGCCCACCTATATACGGTACTGCTACTTTTAAACACTACCTTACTATGAGCTTTTAAGGTGGTGGCCATCAGAGATGTTAAAGTAGATCAAACCTATGTATTTTATCATTTTTACACAGTAAATTTGTAACTGGATAATCAAAATAACCAATGATAATTTCCAGTTTTTCATGAGGTAATATGGCAATTCATCCTCCAAATTCTATAACCCATATATGTAGTATGTATGATATACACTTGTATGTAGCTTATGAGCATCTAATGATACTGTTTAAATTGTGCACTGTTTTCATAAAATATTTAAAACATTTTAAATTAAAATATTAAATACATAGGTTT